GCTCTAACAAAACTTTGATTGCAACTTCTGTTCCATTCCAAATGCCACGCAAAACCTCCTTCCATTCCAACTTCTGTTTCAGCAGAAATCCTCCATGTTTTGTAGTGTGATTTTCAATAATACCCGTTTCTTTTCTTTTCTTCAATTTGCACTCCAGAATTTTCTTCTCTCTGCTTGTTTTTTTTTTTTTTCACAGATCTTTCTTTCTGACATCCAATCCAACTGCGAATTTCATTATAGGTAAGAATACAATCAAAACAACCCGATTGGAATTTATGATTCGTATAAAAATCTGTGGAAGGAAATCAATAATTAATATAGAGGATGACTCAAATTAAAGAGAGAGAAAAACAATACATATGTACCTCTTTAATACTTTATGAGAAATAATCAGAATGGGGAACACCTCCTAACCTCATTGTCCATATGGAATGAAGATTCTACCAACCTTGAAAGTGCTTCAACTTTTTGCAACCAGAGAAATGCAAGTGATACAACCTAGTACAAGGCACATGTACTAAATTAACCATGTATCACACCCTTGACGCACTCTGCGTTAAGCACAAAAGAAGAGCGCTCCAGCCACTCCACTCTGCTCCGTTCTCTCCATCCTCGAGTATGAATGAGACGTACACAACATGAACAAAAAGATGTTTTTGGGACTCATATTTAGCGCTTCCAAAAAGATGTTCTACCCAACTTTAGTGAGGGGTAGAAGTTGTAGGGAGCCATCTTTATCTCTGTACAATGCTTCAACTCCTATTTTCTTCACCACACTTGCTTCAACTCTTATTTCATTCACCCAACTTATTTCATCTCCGCAGAATCCTTCATAAACTTCAGTCACCACACGCGCTTTGATGACTTCTCCGGCTTTTATATCTCCTACCCATAACGGTAAAGATCATTAGCTGTAATGACATGTAAAAATGTAATTCCTTCCACTTCTAATTGGATCCTATCATAACTATCCCATGTATTTCGGAAGGCTTTGGAATCATGCTTTTTTTCAATTCTGATGTCATAATGACAATAAAGTGGTGGGAGTAGTGGAGCCGGATTGAACACAATAAAAAAAACAAATCCATAAAATTCCAATGTATGATTGGATGATGGACATTGAAATGATATTGACGATTTTTCTTTCTGACATCTAATCCCACCAGGAATTTCATTACAAGCAAGAAGGCCATTGGAATTGAATAAGCGTTTTAAAACCTGTGAAAGTCATTGATAGTTATTGCGTGGACCGTTATAACAACATCAATCAGAGCTTCTCCTTCGGGGGACGACACTCCCTAGCCCTTTCTATGCTCACCCCCCTTACGCTTTTTTCGGCCCCGCACCTGGACGGGCTATCTCTCAATTAATGTATTCATAGCGGATAGAAAGATGAGAGTCCCTACCCAATCTTAAATCTTGTTCCATTGTCAGAGATTTCTGCTTCTGCTTCTTCCGATGCCGAGTACGATTCTTTTTATGGCTCTTCAATTTTCAATCTTTCGAACGAGAACTCATCGTGATGGGTAGGTGTATCACACCGGCGGCTTTTCGCTCCTCTCTTTACAGTTGAGTGGCTTTCTCTCCTTGACTTTGTCATAGTACAGTACTGACTTATGGGCTAACAGGTCACACTTTGGCCAGAGAGCGGGACTAGTCTTCTTTCGGGGAGAAAAACTGTCAACACAGCTGTGTGGACCACAATCCAAAAGATGACGTCGTTTTATTTAATTTTACTTTTTCGTGTGTCCAGATGTAACATACATTTTTATAACTAATAATGTACATTATTTAAAATATAAAGTACATTATTATAAAGCATAATGTATATTATTTTAAAACATAATGTACATTATATTACCTCAGATATTTCATTATTCTAACATGCATGTAATGTACATTATTTTAACACATAATATACATTATTCTAACATGTAATTTATATTATTCTAAAATATAATATACATTATTCTAACACATAATATACATTATTTTTACTCATAATAATATTCACGATGATATTTTGAACCGTGGTACACACAGCTGCGTGGACCGTAATTTGCCATGTCGAAAGAGCGAACGCGGGGTTGAGCAATTAATATGGTGTAGTGGTAGATAAGACGAAGACCAGAGAGCATGGATAATAGTGCGTAATAGATACTCCGATAGATCAAGACATTTAGACATGTCTATTATTTTTTTTGGTGAAAAGGAGGGACCAAGGTCCCAGAGAGAAGGAAAAACTAAGAAATCCTTCTAGACGCCACGCTCCTGGCGTCCGAGTTCAGAAGAGTTTGCAAGCCGTCCGGCGGGTGGAGGAGGATCGACATCCCCCAATCCGTATTTTGCCCCATATTCGCAAGAAAGTCGGCACACTTGTTCCCCTCCCGCAGCACATCTTGAACGTTAGCATTATGGAACTGGGCTAAGAGGGCGGAGCAATCGGTAATGAGAGTGTCGGCTTCCGCGTTTGAGCCTGCTCCATTATTCAAAGCTTGAACTAAGGCTATCGAGTCTGATTCTGCAATGATGTTATGGACACCCCTGTTGGAGGCCAAGATGAGCCCCTCTCGAAGCCCCCAAAGTTCAGCGATGAAGCTGTTGGTGGTGCCGATTTTCGTGGTAAAACCAGCGATCCACCTTCCCTGATGATCGCGGAGAATCCCTCCCGCACTGGCTAGGCCAGTTCCAGCTTTCATGGCGCCATCTGAGTTTAGCTTGATGGTGTCCATAGGAGGGGGAATCCAAGAAACCCAAATTTGTCTACAGCTCACGGGGCCATGGTGTCTAAGCAGGTGTCGCTATGCATCCAACGAATCTTTTCTGGCTCTTCTCACGATCTCTTCAGGAGGGATGTTGTGAAGTTGGAGCAGAAGGATTGAAGATAAAGAGGAAAAAAAAGGAATTGATTAACTGCCAAAAAGGAAGCTCAACATGAGCTTATATACAGAGTACAGAGATAAGAAAGAAGCAGTTATAACTGCCAAAAGCGTCTACTAAAGACGTCTACCAAGCGCGTCTACGAAAGGTGTCTACCAAAGACGTCTATCAAACGTGTCTACCAAAGGCGTCTACCAAAGACGTCTATCAAGCGCGTCTTCTTCATTCTGTTGCTGCACTTGATGTTAAGCTGTCATTCTTATCTCCTGAGAGCCCCCCTCAAGCTGGATTGTATATGTTGAGCAATCCAAGCTTGGAAACATAGCTGTAGAAGGTGCTGAGACAGTGAGCCTTGGTGAGGATGTCTGCCAATTGATTTGCAGAGCTAACATGGAAGAGTTTGATAACTCCTTTGTGAGATTTCTCTCTGACTAGATGGCAGTCAATTTCAATGTGCTTCGTACGCTCGTGGAACACCAGATTCTCAGTTATTGCTATGGCAGATTTACTATCACAGTAGATAGCTGTAGGAATGGCAGGCTGCACTCCAAACTCAGCAAGCAAATAAAGCAACCATTGCACTTCACACGTAGTAGAAGCCAGAGCTCTATATTCTGCCTCTGAAGAGGACTTAGAAATGGTGGCTTGCTTCTTAGATTTCCATGAAATCAAAGCCTCTCCCAGGAAAACACAGAAACCTGTTACTGACTTCCTGGAATCAACACAAGCTCCCCAATCTGCATCAGAGAAAGCCTTCAACTGCAAGTCAGATGAAGCTGGAAAGAATAATCCTTGTCCAGGGGCACCCTTGATGTATCTCAATACCCTGTGAGCTGCCTGTAGATGTAGATTAGTGGGACTGTCTAGAAATTGAGCCAGTTGTTGTGTGGCAAAACTGATGTCAGGTCTTGTGATGGTAAGATACAAGAGCTTGCCAACTAGCCTTCTGTATGGAGTAGTGTCATCAAGTAGATCTCCCTCATTTTTGCTGAGTTTATGAGAAGGAACTGTGGGGCTGTAAACAGGTTTAGAGTCACTGAAACCTGTTTCCTCTAATAGTTCAAGAGCATACTTCCTTTGTGACACTGCAACTCCTTTCTTTTGCCTTGCTATCTCCAAACCCAAAAAGTATTTTAAGGATCCTAGATCCTTGATCTGAAAACTGTCATTAAGCTGCCCCTTGAATTGTTTAATTAGATTCAAATCACTACTGGCCACCACTATGTCATCAACATAAACCAATAGTGCCACAAAGGATGAGCCTTTACCTTTGGTAAACAAGGAATTATCTGGAACTGATTGCTTAAACCCCATTTTCTGCAAAGCAACACATAACTTGGTGTTCCATTGTCTGCTAGCCTGTTTTAGACCATACAAGGATTTGTTTAACTTACAGACTTGGCCATCCTTTTGTCCTGCAACTCCAAGAGGGAGTTCCATGTACACATCTTCTTCCAAATCCCCATTAAGGAAGGCATTATTCACATCCATTTGATGAAGATGCCAACCCTTTGCAGCTGCTATAGCTAAGAGAGTCCTGATAGTGGTCATCTTGGCCACTGGACTGAAAGTGTCAAGATAGTCAATGCCAAGAGTTTGGGTGTATCCCTTAGCCACAAGCCTTGCTTTGTATCTGTCAATGGTTCCATCAGCCTTGTGCTTGATTTTGTACACCCATCTACATCCAATAGGCTTCTTAGATGGTGGCAGATCAACTAGAATCCAAGTCTGATTCTTTTGCAAAGCATCAATTTCTTCCTGCATAGCTTTTCTCCAACACTCATGTTTTGTTGCCTCCTTGTAGGATTTAGGTTCAGTAGTGCATGACACATTCATGATAAAGGACTGAAAGGATGGAGAGAGTTTATCATAGCCTACAACTGTGGAGATATCATGAGGAGATGTTCTTACCTCAGAAGTGTGACAAACATAGTCCTTCAAGTAGACAGGAACCTGCTTATGTCTAGTGGACTTTCTAGCAGGTTGTTGTTGTGGCCTTTGGGGAGAAGGACTGAATGTTTGTTCAGGTGGAGCATGGTTTGATTCTTCAACAGAAACTGTGTGCTCAGAATGGTGATGGTTGTGATTCTGTTCAGAGGTATGCTCAGGACTTCTATCAG